ATTCCCACCCAGGATAAATAATTGTGTGAAGAGCACGGTCTTTTAATCTGTGTCTGGGTGGGTGTCTGGGTGTACTTTATCTATAATAATAGGTCTTTACCTATGAAATTGCCGTTTTGTATGCAATAAGTGAAAGTACTTATTTTTTCAAACTTTTTTATTTCTGTTATTCGAAGTAATCACCCATGCAATCGACGCATCTTTGCCAACTCATTGGCAGTTTATTGATGCCCTTCTTGTAAAAATCAGCTGGACGGGAGGCAACAAACTCTTCAAAGGCATTTTGTACTGCCTCTCGGGAATTGAATTTTTTACCCACTAAAAAGTTGTCTAAATTTTGGAAAAAGTAATAGTCGGTAGGTGCAAGGTCTGGTGGTCACATCTGCAACCAGCTTTGGTCAATCGGTCTTCCCACTGCTCCGTCACGACAACGCGCGACCCCATACTGCGCAACAGACAGTCTCCAAGCTGCAAGAGCTGGGGTTGGAAGCTCTCCCTCCTCCGCCATACTCACCAGACCTTGCACCTAAAGACCTAATATTCAAATGTGTATTTAGAAATACACATTTTAAGTATATATATGTGTGTATGTTTATCAGCTGTCTGATTACCACGGCCGTGTGTTAAATGTGTGTAAATATTATTATTATATTAAAGGTAATATAAAAATTATACAAAAAGTAAGGATTTTTAAAGAGATTTGCATAATCCGACAAATCCGCGTTTCCTATTACTGAAACTTTTTTATATCAAATTGATTAATGACAAATTTATTAAACTTTGTTTTTTAATTTGTACATTTACTAATGACGTCGGGACAGTAATATCAGGATTTTGGTTTTAAAAGCTTATTATTTTAATATGAATGACACAAATCTGTAAATTTTGTAGGTAGCCGCTTTTTTTTTTTTTTTTTCCGTGCGGAAATCTCCTCGGATACCACCTGTCGGTGGCATGTCGGACTCGAACCGACTAAAACCGCACGCCGTCTCGGGTACTAATAGCCGGGAAACCAGGTATACCCTAGAAAGGAAGTCCCTGGTGCAGGTAGCCGACCCTGACCTGCGATGCGTTCCTAAAATTGATATCTCTTTAATTTATGCACTATCAATTTTCTCATTTGAATCTTAGAGTGTCCAGTTGACAGCAGTGGGCCTCTTTACGACTCTATCTGTGTATATGTATTAATTAGCTGATTAGAGTAACTTCGTCTGTGTTTTTCAAAAAGAATATTTTCCATCTGTGCAATATTTTTATCGATGCTCGGCTCCTATTAGTGGTAGCATTATATATATATTTATATATGTATGTCGCATCCGGATCTTGTCTACGGAAGATCAACGACACACAAACGTCAGAGTGACGTATTCAGAGCCTAGGAGAAAAAATCATTTAAAAACCTACGAAGAGTTTATTTCTCCCCGGATCCCTGCTGATGCCCACAATGAGTGACCATGAGAATAACGGTAATAACGGTTCTCCGATATGTATATAAATATATATATATATATAGATACATATATATACATATATATATATACATATATATAAATAAATTAAGGAACAGAGTAAAAGGCGTAATTTATTTCAGGTCGGTGTATTGAATTTTCTATTCCATTTTTCTCTATCATTCATAACTTCACTACTTACTTCCTTTCTAGCCATGTCTTTTTAGGTACTCCATCTATCATTTCACAATAGGATTGCTAAAGTAGAAATAGGAAAATTACTTACTTAAAATTTTAAATGTAAATACCTAGATTTGCATCGTAGTTGAGTCTACAGCGAAAGAAAGTTGAAAATCACAGACATGCGCATATAATAATTTTCTTTACATACTTCAATAATAAAGGAGGATCCTCCGGTAAAAGGAATCCCCCAGTTTATGTGTAATAATTTAGACGAACCTAAACATCAAATGGTTTTCCAATACAAATTGTAGTGTTTTTGACTAGTTCATGTGACATATGGGTGCAAACGTGGCTCACCATCGTAGTAGATAAGGCTAGTACCTACAGTACACAAGCAGTCATGATATATTATGTAACCGACTTAAACGCGTTTCAGGAATTTTAAAAAGAATCGTTCAATTATTATTAAAAAAAATATTTTGTTATGCAGCAGGATTTTACAATGTTTTTCATATAAACATCAAGTGGGAATATTAATCAGGGCTTCTACCTAAGGGCAATGATCAGTTATATGGACCTAAACAAATAAACGTAAGGTGAGACGTGGCCAAGTGACCGAGACGAATTGATGGGAAAGCCGTCAAAGTGAGGTCTGAGGTATTTTACTTTTATTCGGGATTCAAAGCTTTAGTGAATAACCTGTAGTACTCTCAAAGAACATCTGAAATACATCTTTATTGTGATACCTGATTTTGGGGGAGGGACTGAAAGTGCGGCAAAAACATGAAAAGCTTAAATAATAACAATATAAGTTTAGTAGGACTAATGTAATATGCTTTTTCTCTTATCCTAAGACCAACTGGCAGAAAATATAGAACAAAAAATATAGAAAAAATATAGTATTATGTAGTATACTAATTAGGTCATTAGGTTATCCTAAAACACTGTATATAATATTTCAGACATCTGACACACAACACCATCTAGTTTCAAACTAAGCAGAACTTGTACTATGAAATCTAGATTAACTGATAGAAAACTTTTATACTTTTTTTTTGTAAATACATGCATATTATACAAAGAAACCACCCAAACTCCGAAATAAATATAAATATTATATATAATATTCCTAATGTTTATAATTACTATGCTCAGCTGTTAAGGAAAACCTCAAAGTCGCTCAAACTCCAGTCTGGGGAGAAGTATACACCGTATCTGGCTCTCCCATCGTTTTAAATTCAGAAAAATAATCAGTATTTTCTGTGAAAACTTCAAAAACGTCTAACAAAACTCCTACTTAAATCATCATATCTAAAATAAATAATTCTACAGACGTATAAATTCATTGATTACTAAATATCTATCGTTAACTACTCTTAAAAATAAATTAATACAAGTATAGTCATTTTACAAACCCATCTGCGTTTGGGAGACTATAATTTTCGTGTACATGATATGTGTTTGAACAGAGAATTAGCAGCAAATTATTATATATTCTCCGTTTTCTTAAAATAAAAATAAGTACTGTTTAAATCCAACATGCTTTAATTTAATTAGAGTATCACATCCAACGAGTTCTCGAGTAACCAGTAATTTATATGAGCGACTACCAAAAAGTCTCATTTCACAAAGTGATAAATTAATTTACACACCCACTTTCACGTAAACAAAAAAAGCAGTATTGCTGTACGGTTGTGGGCAGCAACGTTCTTGTAGTGTTCCCCTCATGTACTCTGGAAATGTTAATGTGTAAATATGAGGCAAAAACCGCTCAATTATTCACTTTCATCTAGATGCTAATAACTTTAATTTTAACAGCTCTTTATAGTCAAAATTATTGCATTTGTTATTTTTTACTGCGTTATTAATATATAATAATTAGGGGGTTTTAATTGAAACTCGTGTTTTTATAAGATGTAACATATTTAAATAATCAAAATATTTACCCTCATTATGTATACATTGTTGCCATCTAAACGGAAGTTCATTTATGCCTTTACGATAGAACTTTGAGGATCTAGATTTGACAAACTGTGTAAAAGCATTTTGTACTGCCTCCTGGGAAGATTTTTTTTTATTACGTAAGAATTGTCTAAATCATGAAAAAATGGTACTTCGTTGGAGCGAGGTCTGGCGAGTGCGGAGGACGACGTATAGTTTCTTACTGCAGCTCCTGTAGAGTTCCAATGGTTTCTCATGCAGTGTGAGGTCTTGCGTTATATAGGAGCAATAATGATGACGATCGATTCCGGAGTCGGGGCTGTTTCACAGCCAGCTTCGCCATCATTGTTCGAAGTTCCACACAGTAAACATCTGCTGTTATTGCCTAACCAGACTTGAGAAACTATAGTAAATAACAGCATGAAGAGACCAACAAACAGTTACCGTTACCCTTTTTTACCACTGTTGCGGCGTTTGACCTGGGGACCATTGCACTTTTAATATTCAACAAGGCAACACAAGTTTCAACACGCATTTCTTGCTGCAGATCAGTCAAATCATGAGACACCCATTTTTCATATTTTTCTTATCTTATTGATTTGAAGCAAATGAGTCACAAATTAATAGGGTAACGTTAAACTATGCCGCTTTTTTTTTTAAATATTCTCACACATTCTACACACTGCCGTCTGATCCCAAACTAGGCAGAGCCTGTACTATGGTAACCAGACTGCTGATAAACATACTTATATATTTCTAAATACACATATTATAGATAAAGTGAACCCATGTAATTCCTGGGTAATTTGACTCAGATCGGACTCCACCGTTTCTTTCAATTCTGCGTTATTCACCTGTGTGGGCGATCTTCCACGTGGTTTGTTCTTCAAGTCGAAGTTTCCATTACGAAAGCGTTGATGCACCCATTGCATTCATTAGCCGTCTTCTCTCCAAGCGCAGTGTTAATATTGCGAGCCGTTTCTGCGTCCGTCCGCGTTAGTTCTACGTCGGAACACGTATTCAAAACTGACTTGGGTTTTCTAAGTAACCATCTTTCACGTCTAAGCTGAATGAAATCGAATATTTCACATTTTTAAAAAGAAGAACCTCTTAGGTATCAACTGAAAAAGTTTCACACGAAACTCTCACTATGAAGGTTTTATGTCAATTCAAAGTATCTATTACTATACAACGGAATTTCATACTTTAACCTCTGTTATTTTTATGTATTTTACCTCTAGTGTTGGTTTTGCTGTCACATCTCACTAATTAATTTACCCCTATTAGTACATCAATGGTGTTTACTTACCACGTACTTCATAACTAGAGAATATCATTAATTGAAGTTCATTTATGCTGAAAACTATAGGTAACTACATTAATTACGAGCAAATATACTGATTTTATAAATATATTAAAGTTAAGAACTCAGTTATTTAAACAGACACCTTGTAGGTAAGCATTTACAATTCGTACTATATGTGGACGTGCACTGTCATTTATAAATGTAGCATTCTCACCCATATCGACCATAAAAGGACCGACATATTCATTAAGAATTTCTTCAACGTATCTTACGACATTTAAGTCGTGTCCAGTGGTGGTGGTAGAGCCAGTTTCTTGGAAATGCTGGATAACTACTTGGATACTTTCTTGTTCTTGCAGTATCACGCTAGCTCCGACCATCTTCACTAGCATTGTGAGGATTCACGTATATTTTTCAGGTGTGAGAGACATAATTGCACATGAGTGTACTTCATTATTCGAAAAGTATAAGGTAAGAAACATATAACTTTATTTACTTTTAGCAAAACTTTAACTAACCTAACTTTAACTGAAAACCTTATCTTTAAAACCTTGAAGTAAATTGAGAGGTCCCGCTTGTTTTCTCGTCAGTTAATGACTATAATTTAAACTTAATAAAATAGACGGACAAGCCGCTTTGTCTGTGCTTGAAAGGTAAAATTTCGTACACCTAAATGAATGCTAATTAAGAAATGTGAGCCTAACAAATAAAGGCAAGTTAAAAAGCGTGATGAACTGAAGGCTTTGACGTCATGACTACTATAGATTGGTTTATCCAAGACAGCATAAGTTCAATAGCAATTTTATTGCTAAAATAAGAAGACTTTGGGCGGCTCATATCACGTTAATAATTTTATACTCAGGTAAGAAGCTTGACAAATTTATTAAGTAATTAATTTAAATGAGAACAATGAGTTTACAAATTAATTATGATGTACTCTAGGGCTACCTCGTTGTAGGTACTGTTTTTCTCTTAAAAAATATGGAAATTTCTCTTATTTTTGGTACACTGGTACTTGTATGTGTGTACAGGCTGTGGGTCAAAAGATGTTTATATTTTTTTTGTTTGTGCCAGTGACTTTGTCCGTACAATAATTATTGTTCTGTCACTCGGCACTGTATTGTCCTAGGTCTGTCACTTTACATGGATGAAAATGTACTTTATCTTATTTTATGTACCCAATGACGATGTACACAAAATATGATTAATTTAAAGCGTAAAAGTGTAACAAACAATTTATAAAATCTTTTTACGATTTCTTAACATTCTACGTCGTCTGTGAGGCTGTTGTATTACTTCGGTAGACCCCACCTACGTGTTCTGAAGCATGGCTGTTTCACAGATAAATTTATACAAACAGCATAACATAAAAAACTAAATTTCTTAAAACATGAGCTCATACAAAACCAGTCTTGAATATATATCTAAAAGGAAGGATCATATGAAAATTTCAGTCGAGTCCACATTAACAAATCTAAAGAGCAGACATACATACGCCCTGTATAATGTACGGAACATTACAAGCCCCGGCTGCGATTCTCTTTCCGCGCGGCTGAGATATTGTAATGAAATCTCGCCATCTGTTTTCTTTCGCCAAAGGAATATGATGTGCGATCTGCGCCTGCTTTTCGTGTACCTAGATTAAACTTATATTTATAAGATACGGTTTATTTTTATCCGCCTAATTATGATTTGTTCTTCTAAACCCGAAAGCGCTGTAGGGCTGTTGGTTTAATCATTTTATACAGAACAGAAAAATTATCTGTATATTTAGATAGATTTGCATTTATGGATATTAGTAAAATAAGGTTCTTGTTGAAGTGAAAACTTCTTTAGGCGCGTTGGGCATTTTCGAACAACAAACAAAAGAATATATTTTTTTGAGATGGGAAAAAACATTGAACTCGCGACACTGTTACCGTGACCGACACCTCTGTATATAGATAGATATATTAGCCCCGTTTACACAAAAATTGAGTTTGGGTTGAAATACATTAACTATAATATAAATTATTTATATCCCCATATCATTAAATAATGGTAATAATGAAGAATAATGAGCTAATCTTCTTTCAAAGGAGATGCCTATGTCCAGCAGTAGGCTATTAAAGGCTGTTGATGTGATGTTGTGTGATGAGAGCTTTGTAACGTCACATTACCTGGAATCAGCGGGAAGAGTGCGGGGATGTTTGGGCGCTGGCTAAGCTAACTGCCAAGTATTCTTCGGAATTTGTTTTCTTTCGATTTATTTGTTAATAATCGCGAATTACTGCTATGCCAGCCATTTCAATGCGTCACGGAATCTTTTCTGTTATAGTTAAACCGCCGTAAGCTTGGCCCTCCTGATGGTTTGGGGGACGCGGGGCGGGGGTGCATTCAACCAATTAGCTAGTGCGTCGCTGTCCGACAGTAACTGACGTGAAAGCATGGCTGTACGTGTTATTTTTCCTAAGACTGCTACACACGGTATTATTTTGCAACGTGAATAATCTGCCGACTCGGCGTCACAAAAAGATTTAAAAACTTGAAATTCGGCTTACAGAGGTTCTAATAAAGAATATTTATTATTTTACTTAATTTTTAAATTGTATCTGAATATAATTTACATGATGAAGATAAGGTGATTTTATTAAAATTATTTTACAGTATTAAATTTTACAATAAATCATAAAAACTTACAATACACTGGCATTATAATAAATGGAAATAAATTCGATTTTTATTACATCGTGTGTAGATTAAATCTCAAACAAATAAATCTGCCGATCCATCTGTGATCATCACCCACCCCGCGTCCCGCAAACCATCAGGAGGGCCAAGCTTAAGGCGGTTTAACTATAGTGACGTGGAAGACTTCTATGTCGCAATTTATATATTGATAAATCTACATTCTATGACCCTAGTTATGCCTATCCTAGTTTCTAATTTTATATACATTTTTTTAAATAAGTACATACTCGTATATTTTAGGACCTACTTTTTTATAGTATTTGTCTTTTATAAAATGAAAAGGACACGTTAATATATGATGATTATTGAAGCAACCTAAATAAATTTTCATGGTTAACGTTCAACTTCAAAATGTCTTTTCATTTATATATTTCCTAAATTATATCTACCTAATGGCTACCGCCTTCGTGAAATAGAATGATTCGAGAACCTCACTCACTCCGTGAAAAGAAACGAAACAGTTGCATAACACTGGTTTCCAGTGAATTCGTGATTTCACTCCGGGCAAGTTGACAATCATGTGCTGAAGCTTGCCTTTCAAAACTGAAAAACTGACATCAATATAACATACTGTGCTTAAACCTTAGAAAAAATGATCTATCATCTACTACTATCGCGGTAAAAAGTAGCCTATGTCTTTCTTCAAGAATCAAAGTATCTCCATACCAAATTTTATCTAAACAGACAGACAGACACACTTTTGCATTATAATATTAGTATCCATAGTATGGATAGATAACATTAGCTTTTTTAAGACTGGTAGACAATTTAAACAAGAGTATTTTTGACATCCGTACTAAGTATTTATAAGTATCCGTCTATTTGTGAAGACCTGTTAATGGCTGAATGTAACCTATACAATATTAAATCAATTTATAAAGCTGTTGGTCTTACAAGATCAAATAAATAAATAAGATAACCTGAGTTAAGGATATGTGCTTCTTAACCAGTACTCATCAAAAAGGAAAAAATAGGTATATTTACTCGTATTTTTCATTGTTCGTTACATCACAAACGTGCGGATAAAGGTTAGTGCCTTTCTCAGTTTAATTACTTGTATGAGTGCTACTAATCTATGATTCTAAAATAAATAAAAATATAAATTTTTGTTTTTTCAATAAAACACCCACAATTTAATGTCGACTTTTCAACCATTATAAAAATAACAGACAAAGAAAACCCATAATGAACTTGCTTAAAAAGACAAGAAAAAACTCTCAGTTTTTGATTAAAGAGTTAGTAGGAGCTCGTTTCCCTCCTTAATTGTTATTTTACAGAGCAACGGCTTAACACAAACTACTCTAAGAGAGCTGTACACAAAGTGTTCTTAATAATATATAAATGCGGAAGCGCCTCAAGAAATAGTTAATGAGTTGTTGAAATGTTAAACGAAATTGTTGTTAATAATTAATAGTAATATTTGATAGATTGCGGTACAATAGATAATTTAGCGATGTAGTAGACAAAATCTGAATAACTGATCACCAGGTCGTCAACGCTTTTGGAATAGAAAAGAAAGAAAACATTTAATAATTTCACATTTAGTTGCCTTTTAGGGCAGTTAGCCTAACAACAGCAAAGATAATAAATAGCAATAAATGTAGAATTAATTTCTAGTCGTCTAGTCTGGTTGGTATTACTTTTTAAATTATCAGGATTTCAAATGGACACAGATCTCTTAATAGTACGGGGATTAAAGTTCGCTCATTTTGCAGCTTTACTAAGTTCACAACATAAATATGCACATACACTTACGTACATACATTTCAACAAAACTTAAATTACATAGATATTAGTTTAGGGTTGATCTCACAAAAGAAGCGGTGTGTGCTAGACTTATTTCTGCTAACTTCACATTATTTCAATACTTCAGGTTCAGGTTGTTATCCTGATGGATGACAACCTGAACACCGGGTACAGAAGTTCAATCTTGTCATCTAATATTTATACGTTGGTAACCTCTTTTTAATATAAAACTCAACAAATATCTAATGGCACGGCCTTTAAAAATGTCATAGTTATCGTATAAACGTGCCTGTTAATTTAGCGATTAGTTATTCTGACTGCTAAGCCAGAGGTCGTGAGTTTTATTTCCACCCAGGACAAATATTTAATTCGCATTATATATGCCAATCGTTATCGTTAACACAGCACACAGTTAACACAGCTAGTGCAACCTCGAAACGTCAGACAATTTAGTGAAATGTGCATCTAATTCCTGAATGTACTAGGTATATGTCAGAATCTTGGTTCTGTTTTAAGTGAGGTTTTGCCTAGCCTCTTCGTCCATGATAAAAGTAATGCTAATATAGACCCTTAATATCCCCGTCTTGGATCATGGTGATGCATGTTGTTATGACCTAAATGCAGATCTCTCCAATAACCAACTTTTGATTAGCTGTATTCGATTCATGTTTAACATCTTTATCTATGTCCTTTGTTTCTCACTAACTTGTTAAATTTTTTCTTCCACTTATACCTTGTGCCCTTAGCCAATTATCTCTGCGGCACCTTGATTAAAGTTATCCATAAAGTATCAAATTAGTAATAAAGCTACTTATAGGATTACCTTACAAAAAACAACTTGCAACACGTTGCAACTTGGACAAAACATACAATAAAGCAAACAACTTACATAATTATGTTAGATAAAATTTCGCCG